AACTAGTGCACCTATACAATTTGCCATTGTATTGGGTGTGTTGGGGACACAAGATATTTCTTGTATTTGGTTGCAGGGTCATTTGAGAGAGACCATCTTCATCCTACACCTCTCACGGATTGATAACCTTAGGTCATCCACTTGAGGGAAAATTGCTACTGTCCTACAAAACTCTGCGCTTGGTGGCCCAACACGTGTCTACAAGAATAAAGTTGCATAGTAGACATCAAGCTCTTTTCTGGCGCCGTTGCCGGGGAGGTGAGTGCTTGAAGGTATATCTTTAGATCTTGCAATTGAATCTTTTAGTTTCTTGTTTTATCACTAGTTTGGTTTATAAAAGAAAACTACATAAAAAATAGAATTTAGGTTGCATCATATTATTGATCATCTTTATAATATCTTTCTTGAAAATGATGGTTCGAAAAACGGTGCTCAATTGTTAGAAGAAGAAGTCAATAAAATGCTTGGCACAAAATATTTGAATGATGAGCATGATTGCATTGTTGTTAGTATGAATTCTTTGAATATCCAAAATGCTAATGATGATTGCACAAGTCATGACAAAAATGTTTCTTATAAGCATGTCAATTTTTGCGGAGTGAATTGGGATTGCAATTGAACACCAAAAAGGAAAGATAGATTTTGTAAGAAGCATAAATATTTAGAAACAAAAAAGATGCAAGAGAGGCTAGATGATTGTGCTGAAAGATTTAATTTTTTTCGCCATCCCTGTGAACTTTGCAATGAATGTGGTCATTTAAATCTCCAATGCAAATTGTTTCATGATCAAATCGTGTCCACAAATTGTGATAACTTGATTACCCTTGAGCATCATAAAGAGCTTAGTCTTCTTTTGGGGTATGAAAAAATGGAACGTATAACTAAGGGCATTCCAAAATTTAATCTTGAGAGATTTCTTGACTTTGATCTAGAGGAAATTTATATGTTTTGTGCGGTAAATTGCATTGAGAATCCTTATATTTCCAACTACCTAAAGACAAGAAAACAAATGGAATATGAAGAGAGTACTAATGAAAGGGAAAATGTTTCCCAATACCCTCCTAGTGTTTATTATGATGAATCAAGTAACAAGGAGGAGCTTCCTATCCAATCAATCTCTCCCACAAGAAGGTTGAAAAAATTAATTAAATCCACACATGATGTGGTGAAGAAGAAGAAAAGAAGAAAGAATAGTGGTAAAAAGGTATCTCTCCCAAATAATGTTTCTCCTATCACCATTGTGCCTCATGAAAGTGAATCAAATATGTTGATGGAGGATGATGATATTGAGTATGATTTTGTGATGCCTACTATTTTTTGTAATGATTATGATTGGGAAGACAACGATATCCCTTATGATCTTGAAAAATCTTTATAGCACTTGCTTGGAAGAATATGATAATGATGTTTTCTATACTATTGGTGCCATTCACGCTATTGATAATAATGATTGTGATGATATGCAAAACCACAAGCTTGGGGATGCTATGTTTAATGAGCATGATATATTTGAAGATTTATTTGCTAGAAATAATGCTTGTCCTAAGCTTGGGGATGCTTTGCTTAATGAATATGATCCTTTGATTCCTTCTACTTTCGATAAGAAAATTTATTATGATGATAGCATGCCTCCCACAGGTGTCAACTTTAGTAGTAAAAACCGTCAGGGCAGGACTGCTTTGTGCCACACGTGTGGCATTTATCATTTGGAAAATATTTTCTACTTCACGGGCACATATTGGACATTGACCCATAGCCTTAATATGCCGAGTTGCAAAAATTATTTGACATATGCTATCATTCCATGGATCAGGCGCCATGCAAATATTTTGACTTCAGCTGGCACTTTCAATTTACAGATAGTATCACAAATAGGATCAGGTCTAGTACCCTGTGCTTGCATCCCTTGATGGAATTTACTTCGGTAACATGCGTCCCACTCAACATTATATGCAGTATTAACAGAGAAGCAATCAGAAAGAGTTAATGGCCATGCAAAAAAATCTTCCATATGGTAAGACGCCAAAGGAATAGCGAAAATTCTATGCACATCAGCCGGCCAGAACATATTCCTTATCAAATCACTAACTCTAGACATCGCATTTGGTCCTCTGCTTGTGATAATTCTCCTTGCAGCACAATTTGGAATCCATTCATCGTTCCATATATCTATTTTACTTCCATCTCCAACCCTCTAGGTATAGACTTTTTTCAGAGTTTTTTTCCTTCACAAATGCTTTGCCAAGTGAAAGAACTCCCATTCCTAGACTCAACATTCAACATATCTCCGATTGGTTAATATTCAGCTTTCAAAACCATAGCACATAAGGAATGTGGATTGTCAACTAATCTCCATGCCTGCTTAGCTGGTAGAGGTAAATTTAAACAATGTATATCTCTGAAGCCCATCGCCCTCTTCCGCCTGATATACACATATCTGCCATCACACAAACCAGTGCATTTTCTTTGTATCAACATCATCGCCCCACCAAAACCTAAACGCATCATCAGTAGTCCCTTTACACATTTTTTTGGGGATTTTCACAAACATCGGAAAAGTTGGTATGGCTTGTGCCACAACTGTAAATAGCACTTCTTTCTCTCCAATGGACAAAAACTTTTCCTTCCATCCACTTATTCTCTTTGGTACCCTATATCAACAAGAAATTGAAAGAAATCACTTCTATCAGCTCCCACAGTTGTCGAGAGCCCCAAGTATTTATTTGTTAAAGCTTCAGTCATTTTTTTGACAAAGGATGCTTTATTACTTAAAAAGTTTAAGCATTACAACCGGGCTCTGCATAACTGAGATGCACACAACCATAACGAAGTCCATGTTTCAGAAACATAAATAGAAAAAGGTGGAATACAAGTAATCGTGTGGAGACTGTATAACGCCTAAGACATAGGAGGGCCAATCCGAGGATCATGCTACGATCCATGTCGGGTAAAAGTATCCCTCATTGTGGCCTCCAAGCATGTACACACCTCCGTAAATAGGTATCGATTCTCCACACGTCGTAGAGACGACCATAAACAAAGCGTACCAGTATATTTGTAGATAACTTGCATAAGAGAAGTACTTTTATCATTAAAAACGTTATCATTTCTACATAGCCAAAGTGAGTATATAGTGGCAAGCGCTCCATCCTGAGAAGAATTCTAAACATGTATTATATCTCATGTAACCAGTGACAAATATATTAGAAACACTACATGAAAGATACACGCCAGAAACTAGTTGGATGACTGGCCATATAGAACGAGCCAATTTGCATTGAAAAAACAAGTGTTTTATTGTTTCATCCTGATGACAAAACACACATTACGTAATTCCATGTCAATTCCTCTTAGTAAGGTTATACTTGCTAAGAATGACTCCTCAATGAAGATATCATGTAAATTTTTTATTCTTTTGCTGGGGCTGAAAAATATGCTAGATTTATGTTCACTAACCAGCTGGCCTGACACAACACAATATTCCAGAAGGATTCTTTTCAGACAGTCTGCATTCTCACATCAGCTTGCATCAATCTCAAAGAGTCGTCATCGAAAGGAGATTTGAAATGGTTAGTGCATCACAACATACCCGAACACATTAATAAACTCGTTAACACCCCTCAATACATAGAAGAAATAAACACAGACATAACAAGTCTCCCTAACAAGCCCCCTCATAGGGATAAATTGTTGGCCAAAGGCTCCTCAGTCGCACTCAGCCAAGGGCGATAGCCCGTGGCCACACGCACACCCGGCCAGAGACGTCTGTCTTTCCGAACTGCATGTGATGCGATAAGAAAGTAGTATCGATGACAAAGGAGAGCCATCACAATCTGTTGAGCGGAGATATTACATTCAGGAAACAATCTTTCATGAACTGTTGAGTACAATAATGCTTGCTACGTCACCACACTGTCCAATGATAGACCAATTATCTCACTCGCTTGGAAGAAGCGGGTGGTACTCCTACTATACTTAAAACAAAGGCTTAATGTAATGATTAGTGGGCAGCAAGCACGAGACTACTTAATTATGCTTAGAAAGATTGCATGTATCGATCGACAGGTCGGGAGCACAACATGTGGCACGAGGGATTGTTAATTTGACTTTCCTAGCTAGACTTGACTGGCTGCTTACAAGATCGCCTTTCTTTTCTGCGAAATCTTACTAAGTAGCAAGTATACTTAACAGCGTGAACAATCACGCACATCAGTGTGACCAAGTTCACACTTGAGTCGGCATGCACGCAGATAAACCATGGAGCATGCATGTTTGTGTTGTTACTGAGACAGACCCTGGTATGAGTTTGCTCGGATTTGCTCTTCAGGGTGAAAACTAAAAATCTAATCTTCGTGCATGGATCTAACGCTGTAACGCATCGTTGCTGAAGCACTTTACTCATAGTCCGAGTGTTGTCATCGGTGGAATTTGATGTTGATGCTGGTTGCTACTGTATGCTTTAGTTTGGCACTTCGACAGGACTTTTGAGGGTCACGTTTTTTCCTTTTTGTCATTTGCGTGTGCTTTTGTGTTGGTTGTGTGTATCCTCATCATGTAGAAACCGGGCGCATATCCATAATACTTGTATTCTCTTGATATGACGTTATGGGTTAATAAACATACCCTTTATCAGAAAGAAAAACCGTGTTGAGCCAAAGAAAATCAGATCGACTCGAGACGGTAATGGCTAGGATTATATTCATGTTTACTAGATCTCTCTTTCGAATTAGCTGGGAGATACCGAGTATTGAGTATTGACTCGAGAAGTGCAGGTCGTTTCCAAGCCTAAACAAGCCAAAGAAAATCAGATCGAGATGCTACTACTCCAGCTCAGCGTAGCTTGCATTGGTGTGGCAGCATAGCTGCATAAGTAAGTAGCTGCAGAGACTCAAACATCATCACAGGACAGAGAGGCGACAATAGATTCACGCTCTGACCACACTTTGATCTGATCTACTCGGTACCTGACAGAGCCGTGGTAGCTCAAGCTCGCTGCCGGCATGGAGGTGGATGGCAAGAAGCCGTACGTCATCGCCGTGATCATACAGGTCATCGCCACCGGCATGCTCGTCACCTCCAAGGCGGCGTACAACCAGGGGTTCAACACCTACGTCTTCGTCTTCTACCGCCAGGCCGCCGCGTCTCTTCTCTTGCTGCCTCTCGCCATTGTCCTCGAAAGGTACTGCCTCAGAGCTAGCTATCTATCTGGTACTATTTGAGATATACTTCTAGCAACGGAACCATGCATGCAAGTAAGGTCGATGATGAGTTGCAAACTGATTCCCAGGAAAAACATGCGGTTAATGTCGTTCCGGTTGCTCATGAAGCTGTTCCTCTATGCCTTATTCGGGTAAGACGGCAAGTAAGCAACGCATGAAGTAAATTGCAAAAAATCATCACAATTGGCTCAAAGTTATCAATGCTTCAGGAAAAAGCCATCAGAAAACATGCATTTTGGTGGGTGTTTGATGACTTTTGCGCAATTGTGGTGGTTTTTTGCAATTTACTCATCGATTGCGGCACCTAATTAGCTGTTTATGTATGTGCAACAAATAGGAGATGAATGACTGATAGATATTTTCAGGACTACATTTAGCTTGAACCTGTACAACGTGAGCCTCAAGTTAACATCTGCTACCGTGGGGTCTGCGACCAGCAACTCCATGTCCGTGGTCACCTTCATCATAGCGCTACTGCTGAGGTAAGAACTAGTTGATCCGGCCAACTACTATTATATGATTATACTACTCTCTGTTTCATAATAATTGAACTAGAACCAGGACAAGAATTATGGAATAGAGGGAGTATTAAAGTTAATCAGTAGTAGTAGTAGTAGTAGTACTACATACCTAGTGACTTGTACACTTGGCCGCAGGATGGAAGTGGTGAAGCTGAGGAGCCCCTCGGGCATGGCGAAGGTGGCCGGAGTCGTGCTCTGCCTCGCCGGGGTGCTCGCCATCGCCTTGTACGTGGGTCCGTCCCTGGACCCGGTGAACCACCACCGCGCCTTTGCTGCCGCAAACGGGGAGGCTGATGCGAAGAGGGGGACGTGGATCATGGGCACGTTGCTCATGGTGCTCGTCAACGTGACGTGGTCCCTGTGGATCGTCCTGCAGGCCGCGCTGCTCAAGGAGTTCCCCCACAAGCTGCTCGTCACGGCCACGCAGTGCGCCTTCAGCGCGGGCCAGTGCTTCGTCGTCGCGGCGGTCGCCGAGAGGGACTTCTCCCGGTGGCAGCTAGGGTTCGACGTCACACTGGTCGCCGTCCTCTACACCGTAGGGCTTCCCAATTATCTGTCTTGATAATGCTGCCAATGGATGTATGCATGGAGTGGTGGACTTATGTATGCATGGTTCAAAAATTCAGGGGTTTGTGGTGACGGGAGTGTCGTACTACCTGCAAGCATGGTGCGCGGACATGAGAGGGCCGGTCTTCCTCGCCGTGTGGAACCCGCTCTGCTTCGTCTTCACCATTTTCTGCTCCTCCTTCTTCCTCGGAGAGATTGTTCACCTCGGCAGGTACGTGACGATTTGGCATCGAAGATCTTTCAACTGCACAATTGGTCTATCAGTCTATCCTTGCAAAACTCCACTTCATTTATTCTTCTTTTTCATTAATTTTGGCAGTATCTTGGGTGGAATTCTTCTCGTTGGAGGTCTGTACAGCGTGCTGTGGGGTAAAAGCAAAGAGATTCGGACTGCGCCATGTGATGAGCCGATTATGATCCATGGCGTGGGGGACGATAAATCTGCGGATGAGGAGGAGAAGAATGTTATTAGGAGCAGAGAAGTTAATGGGGAGATGGAGCACGATAAAGAAGCAACCATATCGCCTGCTGAACAAGTCTAATTTCATCGATTGAAGGAGGCTCCATCTTCTCATGGGATGCATCCATTATTCGAGTAACCGTGGACTCTGTCCAATTTAAACCACGGAGCAGGGTAACAGAAAAATAGGCTGTATTAAAGTTGAGGCATTTATTTTAAGGTGAAGGGAGTAGTTGCTTAACCTTTTACAAGTCCCCGTCACCTAAATTAACTTGCATACTACTAAGCCTTACACGGTTACACTGCAAATTTGAAGGTGTGCTACTTTTGGTCCATATGTTGTATATGTGCAGTAAGCCAGTAACACAGATGTGGATGGTTGGGTGTTTGCCCCAAAAGTCTTTATAAATATGAGTTTGCATGTTCTATGCAACGGATCAATAAACTGTGATAAAAGAGTTTGCATGTTCTGTGCATTACAGGCTTACCGCATTATGGACCAGTGCGCGTGTACACGCAGCAAAAAATGGGCAAAATGGGCAAAGATTTTTTTTTCCACTTGAGCTTAGGACTTCGTCTAACAAAACTTGAGTTTAGGACTATTTGCACGAACCCTTGGAGAATGGTTCACCCAACTAGTATTTTTTGTGTGGCTTCTTGGCCGGCCAAACGTACTTCTGGTGGACCAAATCTACATACTATGACCGATGGACCCAACATCCCTCTGCCTGGTAATTTTTTTTATTGCTCAGTTTCTGGTTGCGGGCCTGGGAAGACCAGTCCCTGGGCCTTGTCCTAAGCCAACACTCCTGGGCATGGGCCTCCATTTTGATAGGCTTCAAAGCCTTGCTTGGCCGTCACTGCCAAGCATGGTCAACACGAAAAGAAATCATATGACCGCTCATTGCGACTAATTGTTGACTTTTTTGTGAGGCAGACTAATTATTGACTAATCACACACGGAAGTGCATGGATGGACCAGGACAATCGAGCGGTCAAACAAGGAGTGGGAGATTTTCTTCCTTTCTCAAGACACTTTTGTTTTGTTTTTCTACTTTCTTCTATCTGTTTCCTTCCGGTTGATCTGTTTTCTCTTTTTTATTTCTTATTTGTCGTTTCTAGTTAATTTTTTTCCTTTTTTATATTTAGATTTCATAAACATTTTTTCAATTATTTTTTAAAATCATATTTGAACATTTCTTAAAATACCTGGAAATGTTAATGATTTGAGAAACTCTTTTAAATTGGGGAGCATTTTTTATAATTTCACAAACATTTTTATTAAAATATAGGGCATTTTTCAATCCATGAACATTTTCCTAAATTCGTGAATATTTTTTAAATACATAATTATTTTTAAATATGGGAAAGTTTCTTAAATTTAAAAACATTTTAAAGAGTTTTCAAGTTTGTAATCATTTACGAAAAAACTCAAAAAAAACAATCAAAAATATCTTTCGAAATTTGTGTGCATTTTTTCGAATTTTGTGAATATTTTTAGTTAGCAGGCTTTCTAAAATTTCTAAAGATTCTTTTCATTTTTCAATAATATATTATTTAAATTTATCTAAACAGACCTAAGAGCGGAGTTTCCGTGGAAAATCAACTGTCGCGTAGAGGTACAGAGCGTCTGCGAGAGCTATGACTCGCAAGTGAGACATAACTCCACCCCGTGTTTAGCGCATTAGAGGCACGCTAGCCTTAATGGGATGGCCCATTTAGAAGCTTCTACAACGTTCTATTGATCAGTTTGGACTGGTGTTAGAAACTTCCATTTATTTTTTGTTTTTTCCGATTTTTGTGTTTTTCTGATTTTCTCCGATTTTCTTGTGTTTCTTATTTTATTACCCCTTTTCTTCTTTTTGTTTCCTTTTACTGTTATTTTTCAAAATACATGTCTCCTTATTTTTAGTAAAAGTTGTATATTTTTTTGTATACCTGTGAAGCATTTTTTATGCATGTTGAACATTTTTCAAAGACAGGAGGAACATTTTTGTAAATACGATTGAAATTTTTTTAAATACATGTTAAAGATTTTTCGAACTTGTGTTCATTTTTTAATGGTTTGAAACATTTGTTTAAATTACATGAACATTTTTTAGTTTGTATTAACAAAAAAATCAGGAACCTATTTTCAAATGTTTGATGTTCTTTCGAAATATTACAAACATTTTTTAACGGTATGAAACTTTATTAAATTTATCCAAACATTATTTACATTGTATAAAAATTGATGAAAAAGAATTCAACAAACATAAGTTTGGAATGCGTGAACATTTTTTGCAAATCACATGATTTTTTTTTTATAAATTTAATAATAAAAATACTCGTGATCGTGAACACGCGTGATCTCATCATGTTTATGTGGACTATTTGCTTCATTCAGACCATTTGTTGTGCTTGAATTTGAAATTAGAAAGTAGTAAGTTTGAATGTTGTTGGAATGTTCGAATTGTTGACATCAAAATTTGAATTAATATGATGCCAGAAACTAGTTTGAAATGTGGTTTAAGTTTGCCAGGGAAATGAGAAATAGCAAATGGATTTTATTTTGTGAGAAAATGCAAAGTTTGCATCTCGGTGGATTGACAGGAAGAAAGATGTACAACTGTACGACCCAATACTAGGCCGAACAGACGGGACTCTTCAGACAGGATTATGACCAACAACCGCCCAACATTGGAAAAGTTATGACCAGCATAGGAAAATCTCGGCGTAGAAAGAAAACCTTGAGCACAGCCAATGAAAAAACGAAAGATCTCCATAAGAGGTTTGCGTAGATGTTAAAATCCCTATGAAGTGTAGTAGCATAGTAAATAAAAAATCCTTAGGAAAAACTCCCATAAGATTGAATCCTACATGTCAAATGCCGAACATAGGAAAAATCTTAAGCATCTCAATCCTTCTAAACACCTATGAAAAAACGTTTGAATCAAGTAGAAGCAAGGAAAAACAGCCTCTCCGGACCAGCTTGAGTTGCTGTCAGTACCCACTGTGCCACCACGTGGGAGTGACCCTTGATTGGTCGCACAAATCAGCTGGGGGTTACGTCAACAGATTCCTCGAGCGGCCTAGGAGCACCACCACCCGATCACACACGAACATGCCGCGCAAACTCTCAGCTGACTAATAATTCGTTTGCGCGTCTAAGGCCCTGTCTCGGAAAAGCCGCAAAAGCAGAAGCAAAAACCAAACAAACAGGGCCTAAGATTTGCTATCCAACATCAGTTCCAGGCCTCAGAACTATTTCCGGTCTAATGATTCTGCGCGGCAAGCAAAGGCTTGACCAATGACTAGGAAACCAGTACTCCTACGTACGATGCCAAGCACACGCAGATGTCTACTCCTACCGCGTGGTATTAGCGAAATAGTTAACCAGCTGACGCTCCTGCTTGCTTCTCCGATCCCAAGCCTATAAATAACGGTCCACGGCCACCACCCTGTCCTATCTATCTCACCAGCGTAGCCATAGAAGCTCCATTTGCAGAAAGCTCAATCCAAGTCGCAGCAATGGTTAGGATGCTGGACCTCGCCGCCAACAAGGGCTTCGCCGCGCCCGGCAATGTCATCGGTCTAGCCTTCGCCTTCGTGGCCGTCGTCGCGGTCGTGGCCATCGCCGTGTTCAGCTGCTCTGATGGGGCGGACAAGTCAGACGCCAAGCACAAAAAGAAACGCAAGGCCCAACCCGTCGTTGTTGTTTTCGGCGGTGGAGGCTGCTAAGATCGTGCACACGAATCCTTCACGAGTGCGGACCCGGACAACTATGATAAGCTCTTTAATATTACAGCCATGTATTCCAGCCTACTGTGCCTTCTCTAGTACTATTATTACCACACCCTTGATATATGGTGTGCCTACGAAATTTAATGCCTGTTCTCGGTAATATTTGTACTCATGTATATTGAATATGTATATTTTTTTCGCGGGGGGAACAAGTATATTGTTTTACTGAAACAAATTTTATTGTCATTTTTATATAACTAAGTAGTTGATCCCCATTATCTTATTTCTCTCGACGCACATTGTACTCATGTGTATAATTGTATTAAACATTGTACTTAGTATCTCGAAGGTGCACTCATAGGATTAGGGTGTGCCTGCATTCATATGGGTGAGTGTATGTGTGTGTGGGGGGCATGCATCTACATCGTAAAATACAAACATACCACCTCAACGTGCAGACATACAGAGGGAGTACTGAAAAAAGCTTAGCCGTTTCCATTATGTTATGGTACTTATATTAAATAAATATTTACAAATATAAAATAATTAATATAATAAATTATATGTATTTTCAATTTCAGTTCTTCTATTATTAATTAAAATATTCATGTTCGATGTAACCGAAGCTCGTCGCAATATGTTGCAACCAAATCCCACAGCAACACACTGGGTTGCTTGTTCTGATGAGGTACCAATGCATTGACCAAAGTTTATACCAATGCTCTGCACATTTTGTATTCATATCTAGGGCGAGTATTTTTTTTGCACTTCTTCGATAACAAGGCAAGGCTATAAAGAAGGAACATGTGAAAACTATGTTTCTAAGTATTTGAAAGTACTAAGAAAGAATGTATTGGGGGAACTAATGCTTTATAAATATGTAAAAATGATGTTCAATCTTGAACTCACTATTAGGTATGAGAAAAAAATTCATCGCTGAATTAGTGACGAAGTATACATCAATATGAGTGCTGGATTTGTTTTTTTACATACCTCCTCAAGTTTTTTAACATAATGGTTTGCGGCAGAGACTAACTGATGACCCACAAGTATAGGGGATCTATCGTAGTCCTTTCGATAATTAAAAATGTCGAACCCAACAAGGAGCAGAAGGAAATGACAAGCGGTTTTCAGCAAGGTATTCTCTGCAAGCACTACAATTATCGGTAACAGATAGTTGTGTGATAAGATAATTCGTAACGGGTAACAAGTAACAAAAGTAAACAAGGTGCAGCAAGGTGGCCAATCCTTTTTGTAGCAAAGGACAAACCTGAACGAACTCTTATATAAAGCAAAGCGTTTCCGAGGACACATGGAAATTATTGTCAAGCTAGTTTTCATGATGCTTATATGATTCGCGTTCATTACTTTGATAATTTAATATGTGGGTGGACCGGTGCTTGGGTGCTGCCCTTCCTTGGACAAGCCTCCCACTTATGGTTGACCCCTCTCGCAAGCATCCGCAACTACGAAATAAGAATTAAGATAAATCTAACCATAGCATGAAACATATGGATCCAAATCAGCCCCTTATGAAGCAACGCATAAACTAGGGTTTAAGCTTCTGTCACTCTAGCAACCCATCATCTACCTATTACTTCACAATGCCTTCCCCTAGGCCCAAATAATAGTGAAGTGTCATGTAGTCGACGTTCACATAACATCACTAGAGGAGACAACATACATCTCTCAAAATATCGAACGAATACCAAATTCACATGATTACTTATAACAAGACTTCTCCCATGTCCTCAGAAACAAATGTAACTACTCACAAACCATATTCATGTTCATAATCAGAGAAGTATTAATTATCATTAAGGATCTCAACATATGATCTTCCACCGAATAAACCAACTAGCTTCAACTACAAGGAGTAATCAACACTACTACCAACCCGCAGGTACCAATCTAAGGTTTTGAGACAAAGATCAGATACAAGAGATGAACTAGAGTTTAAGAATAGATGGTGCTGGTGAAGATGCTGATGGAGATTGACCCCCTCTCGAGGAAAGGATCATTGGTGATGACGATGGCTTTGATTTCCCCCTCCGGGAGGGAAGTTTCCCCAGCAGAACAGCTCCGTTGGAGCCCTAGATTGGTTCTGCCCAAGTTCCGCCTCGAGACGGCGGTGCTTCGTCCCGAAAGCTTCCTTTTGATTTTTTTCTAGGTCAAAACACATCATATAGCAGAAGATGGGCGTCGGGGGCCTGCCAGGTGGCCCACAAGACCGGAGGGTGCCCTAGGGGGTAGGGCGCGCCCTCCACCCTTGTGGATGGCAAGTGGCCCCCTCTGGTGCTTTCTTCGCCCAATATTTTTTATATATTCCAAAAATATTTTTCGTGAAGTTTCAGGACTTTTGGAGTTGTGCATAATAGGTCTATAATATTTGCTGCTTTTCCAGTCCAGAATTCCAGCTGTCGGGATTCTCCCTCTTCATATAAACCTTATAAAATAAGAGAGGAAAGGCATAAGTATTGTGATATAGTGTGTAATAACAGCCCATAATGCAATAAGTATCAATATAAAAGCATGATGCAAAATGGACGTATCAACTCCCCCAAGCTTAGACCCCGCTTGTCGTCAAGCGAAAGCCGAAATTGAAAAATATGTCCACATGTTTAGAGATAGAGGTGTCGATAAAATAAAATACGAACATGAGGGCATCATGATTATCTTTAAGACAACAACATATATTGCCATATAATTTCTTATGTTAGAGTAATAATTCATTCAGAAGGTAAAGCATGAATCAGAAACTTCATTGGAAACTAACAAACTATGATCTCTGTCATTGAAGCAATTGCAATTTATCATAACATCAGAAAGAGTCAATATAAGAGCTTTTCAGCAAGTCCACATACTCAACTATCATTTAATCTTTCACAATTGCTAACACTCATGTGATACTTATGGGTTCAAAGTTTCAATCGAACACAGAGAAAGATAGGGGCTTTTAGTTTCGCCTCCCAACCTTTTACCTCAAGGGTAATGTCAACAATAATACTTCATGATAACCTACATCCGAGTGGATATATATACCCGGATCTCTCCAACACATAGTGCTTGCCAAAGAAAAAAGTGTAAAAAGGAAAGGTGATGGTCACCATGACTCTTGTATAAGGGTAGAAGATAAAAGTAAAAGATAGGCCCTTCACAGAGGGAAGCAGAGGTTGTCATGCGCTTTTATGGTTGGATGCACAAAATCTTAATGCAAAAGAATGTCATTTTAAATTGCCGCTTATGATAAAGAATTTTATTATGCAGTCCGTCGCTTTTATTTCTTCCATATCACAAGTTCGTATAAAGCTTATTTTCTTCACACTAATAGATCATACATATTTAGAGAGCAATTTTTATTGCTTGCACTGATGACAACTTGAAGGATCTTACTCAATCCATAGGTAGGTATGGTGGACTCTCATGGCCAAACTGGTTTAAGGGATGTTTGGAAGCACAAGTAGTATCTCTACTTGTTGCAAAGAATTTGGCTAGCATGAGAGGGAAAGGCAAGCTCAACATGTTGGAGGATCCATGACAATATATCTTCTATTCAGATATAAGCAAACATAACTCATTATGTTGTCTTCCTTGTCCAACATCAACCTTTTAGAATGTTATATTATAATGAGTGCTCATAATTACAAAAGATGTCCAAGATAGTGTATTTATCTGTGAAGCCTCTCTTTCTTTATTACTTCCTATTAATTGCAACAATGACCAAAACTATGTTTGTCAACTCTCAACAACTTTTATTCATCATACTCTTTATATGCGAAGTCATTACTCTTCATAAAATCAATATATGATATTTTTATTTCTTTTTATTATTTCGTTAATTTTAATTCCCTCAAGATCATAGCAAGAAAGTAAATCTCTCAACTCAAAACTACTCTTTATTATATATAACTCACGGACTCGATTACATAGAGGGAACATAAAGCAAAACTCAAAGCTAGATCATACTAAAACTTTATTCTACTACATCAAGATATAATCAAAAGGATCGAACTAAGGAAAACGATAAAGGTAAAGGTGTGATGGTGATACGATACCGGGGCACCTCCCCCAAGCTTGGCAGTTGCCAAGGGGAGTGCCCATACCCATGTATTTAGATCTCTTTCTTCGGAGGTGATGATGTGATATTCTTGGCGATGATGCCCCTCGGGATGTGATTCCCCTCCTCGAGCTTATTATTTTGCTGCTTAAGATCCATTATTTCCTTGTGAAGTTTACCCGTGTGTGACGCCCCCGATTTGGCCGTACACTAATCATACACGCAAATGTGTATGATCAAGATCAAGGACTCACGGGAAGATATCACAACAAAACTCTAGACACAAATGAAAATAAAACAAGCTTTATATTACAAGCCAGGGGCCTCGAAGGCTTGAATACATAGCTCGAATACACAAGAGTCAGCGGAAGCAACAATATCTCAGTACATACATAAGTTAAACAAGTTGCCATAAGATGGCTAGCACAAACTGGGATACATATCGAAAGAGGCGCAGCCCTCCTGCCTGGGATCCTCCTAAACTACTCCTGGTCGTCGTCAGCGGCCTGCATGTAGTAGTAGGCACCTCCAGTGTAGTAGGAGTCGTTGTCGACGGTGGCGTCTGGCTCCTGGACTCCAACGTCTGGTCGCAACAACCGGGTATAGAAAGGGGAAAAAGGGGGAGCAAAGCAACAGTGAGTACTCATCCAAAGTACTCGCAAGCAAGGAGCTACACTACATATGCATTGGTATCAATGAAAGGGGTAGTATATGTGGACTAAACTGCAGAATGCCGGAATAAGAGGAGGATAGCTTGTCCTATTGAAGACTACGCTTCTGGCTGCCTCCATCTTGAAGAAGAGAGTAGATGGTAAGTTAACCAAGTATCACTGCATAGCATAATCCTACCCGGCGATCCTCCCCTCGTCGCCCTGTGAGAGAGCGATCATCGGGTTGTATCTGGCACTTGGAAGGGTGTGTTTTATTAAGTATCCGGTTC